GGAACCCCAGGGTCCAGCCTGCACAGACCCCCGGCGCCAGGCTGGGCCGGCCCACTTGGTACTGTCCGCAGTATTCTAGAGCAGCTGGCCGCAGGGAGCTTCCCGAAGGGCAGGAAACCCACTTGTCAAAGACGATTTCCCAGCCCCCTCTCCTAAGACCGCCTGACGTTGTCTTTCAGGGTCGGGGGACAGTGCCCAGGGCCCACCACACTTCGGGGAAGCCCAGATGTTTCAATGTATCCTAGAACAAATGTGTGGTTTGTCTTTGTGTATAGTGCAAAGCAAACATAGCAAGATACATGCTACACACATACAAAGTATATGCGTGTAGACAAAGTATAGATGCGCACAAAGCAGAAGTATACAGTGCAGTCATTCCATATCTCGCCCTGGCAGGGATGAGCTGTTCTCTACAGCTGTCATCCACCTGACCTGTCAGTTGCAAATATCTCTGTCATCTACTACAGTCTCTCTCGTCTGTGTCTCATGCCTGTATCCTCCATCTATATTTGTTTAGTACCTGCCCACATCTGCCTCTCTGCACCCATCAATCTCTCTCTCTGTAAAGAGCCATGAAAGCTTTGCCTGGGGCACACAAAAGTTTCGGCGCAGGCCTGCATTCGCAATTTTACATCAGGGGGAGCTGGGGTGAGCCCGAGACTGTGCCTGTTTGCACAGCGTCACAGCATGGGAACTGTCTGGTTCTGAAAGGCCGCGCTGCCTGACTGTGAATGGCAGAGTGAAGTGCCCTGTGGAAAAGGAATGGCCAGAACAAGGAGTGGCCAGAATGGCATGGACTCAGCACTGGGCCTGTGAATCACAAGCCAGGTGCGCTCCGTGGCTGGGCCAGGTTACAGGTGAACAGAGAGGCCTGACGACCTTTGCCCGTTTCCTGGAACTGGGCTGTTTCTGTGAAACTTCTGGGAGGGACTCCGAGGGCCTGTGTGGTTGTTTTCATCGTCGCTGTGATTATTTTAACGAAGCCTTGTTCTCTGGGAATCTAAACCTCACCGGGTGCCCGCTGTGTGGACTGAAATAAACGACCAGACAGCGTCTCCACTTATCGGTGTCGTCTCCGTAAAGCAGTTCAATCGCTGTCTCCTGGGGGCCACAGAAAATCGCAAAGCCACTGCTAGTGAGAGCGCCCACCGACTCCCCCCCCCACGGGGCCCCTGCTGGGGGAGGGGAATGTCTGCAGGCGGTTACTGTACGTGCCGGACCAGACTGAACATTCCGCAGAGGGCAGAGCAGCCGGACCTGTTGGCCCAGCGACCCGCAGGCGGGAAACGTCCATCGCAGCGTGGGGACAAATGGAAGCCGAAAGAATTTCAGATGGAATCGTCTCTACCAGCCCACTGGGAAAAAGTTCCAGAACCCGAGGGCTGCCCACACTGGCGGTGTGCACGGCCCCATGCTGGAGACCGCCCCTCCTGGCTGACCGTGCCCAGCACAGTGCCAGAGCCGTCTGGACAGGTGTCCTGTGGTCCTGCTCAGGGGATGGCAAGAAAGGAGAACGTACGTGCGCAGCCCAGAAGTCACCAGCCTATGCTGCCCATCCAGGCTGGCCGAATCCAGACGCAGAACTGACGTGAGGGCAGACGGGGGCTGGGCACGGCTGTGTTTCCTGCCCCCCCGCCCCCACGCGATGTCCCTAAGGAAACTCGTCTTCATTACCACCTCGGCCACTTGCCTCAAATTTGACCAGCCTCAAACTGGTGGAATAAACCCGTTCTGATGGCAGCCTGGCAGGCGCCTCCCCCCAGCGTGGAATAACAAGCTTGTGGCACCTCAGAAGCTCTGGATGAGCTGGCGGGCTGCTGCCTGTGGAAACTCAGCACGGGCCCTGTTATACAGCAAGTTCGCGCCCCTTGCACTCTCCCAGGAGTCCCCCTCAGCTCCAGCAGGGCACGCGGACAGGATGCGACTTTCTCAAGGCTGCAAAGCCGCACGGCGGGACTGCAGATTTCCACTTCCACTGCGGACCCTCCCCGAAAGGCTCTGGGCTTCCGTCCCCCATTCGGGCCCAGACTACCTTCATTCCAAAGGCCACAGCCCTGCCATCCTCCAGCACCCGCTCACACCTGAGCTGCATTTCCTTTGCGCAGGACCCTGAACTGACGCCCTCCGCCTTTCCCGACGATCGACAACGCTGAAAGGCTGGACTCGAGACGCCTGTTTTGCTTATTTTTGAGCCAGGAGCCAGTTCTCACCAGAGGCGTGAGCTCATTAAATGCTCAGAACAAACCCACGAGGAGAGGACTACTCTTAGAAGGTGCATTTCACAGATGCGGCGGCTAAGGCGCAGAGGGGTAAGTCACCTGCCCCGGGTCACACAGCCTTTGCAAGGTGGCAGGCCCGATCCGGAAGTCAGTCAGTGGATATTACATTGCTCAACCCGACACCCCCCACGCCACCCCAACACCCCTCAGCAGGACAGGGCAGCAGCTGATAGCATCCCTGTGGCCAAAGCAGTGATTTGTTAAGAGGTCAGGGATTCTCTTTCAGCCTTGACTGTATTTGTTTTCTTATCTTTTTTCTTTCCATTGCGAGCTAGAAAATGATTCTGAATGCCACCTCCCGTCCTCCTAGTGCTTGCAGCTGGGTGCATGTCACACCGTGCCCGGCCTCCAGGCCTCTTAAAACAGTAGGCCTGTTCACTCCAGCCCAGGAGCTCAGAAAGAAAGTCTGAGCCCAGCTCCCACAGAGGGGCTGTTGCTTGTGACCGCCAGACGGGCCTGCGCCAGGCTGCTCCCATCGCTGTGGCCGCCCCCTTCCCGCCGGGCGCTGGAAAGTGGGAGGCACAGCTGCTCGACTCAGCCCTCTCCAGGCCACAGTCTCCCCGCCCGCCCGCAGTGGGGAAATAACCACTCCAGATCCGGCCCAACTGGTTCTTAGCCTTCGGGAGAGGCAAGGGAGCAGTGTGGCCTGGGGGCCAGGACCCCAGGATAGGGGGTACCCCAGCCCCTAGGGGCCCCGGGGTGCTGCCTGAGGCCACGTGGCCGTGCGGCTTCAGCAGTCCCGGCTCCTTGGCCATCGGTCTTGCGCCAGTCCAGACCCCACCGGGACCGGGCGCCACTGCCCCTTACCTCGGGGCTGGCCGCGCAGGCAGCGGGCAGCTGTCTCAGGCTCAAGCTGGGCCGCGGGCTCCACAGCCCGCCTCCGCGGCGGCCCAGCCTCTCTCCTTCTTCCTTCTTCCTCCGGGCGGGACTCACCTGGCAAAGGAAGTGTGTGGGACCTCGAGGGGGAACCAGGACCCAGGCATCCACTCTATGGGGTCACATCAGCCCCCTCTTCCAGGTTCCAGGGGTCCTGGCTCCTAACTCTTAGTCATCCCACCCTGGAGTGAAGGATCCCAAGCCCTCCTCCTCCCCACTCTAGACCCAGGGATCCAGCCCCAGCCCGTCCCTCCTTCCTGCCCCCTCTAAATCCTTGAGAGCCCTGCCCCTCCGCCCTCGCCCTCGACCAGAAGTCCCAGTCCCCTGAGGTCCGGCAGTGTCCCCTTCCTTACCAGCGCCGGTCTGAAGCGTCAGCCCCTCTCGGGGGCCATGGTCGGAGCCCACTGGGCCCTGAGTCGCGCCCAGTCTTGCTTGGTCGTCTGGGGCTGATAGGGTTAAGGCATACGCCCCTCCCAGCCCTCTGTATTCCCCAAAAAGTTTGCCTCTCGGATTTAAAGGCCCAGAAAGCAGCAGTGGAAAAGTGGAGGTCCCTCGGCTGGCTGCGTGTGGGGGTGGGAGGAGGCCTGGGCCAGCGCCGGAGAGCTGAGGGGGAGGGGGGTGGACGGCGCGCCCCCAGCCGGCCCCTCCCCTGCCGGCTTGGAATTTCCTGAAACTGGGGAAGTCTGGTTTTTTCGAAGAGTAATTTCTTCCAGATTGCAGCTCTGCAGCTGTTGAGGGAGTGTGTGGTGTTTGGAAAGGGAGGGAGAAGGGGGAGGAGAAGGACGGGGGAAGAAGGAGGAGAGAGAGTCAGAGAGGGAGGGAGAGAGGTCAGGTCGGCAGCCAGACTGAAGAGGTTAGAGGCAGCCTAGGGGTGCAGCCCTCCCACCTTGCAGGGAGCTCTGGGTAAGCGGCCTGGCCTCGCCTGGTGCTCTTGCTGAGGAAGGCTCTTCCACCCCTCAGAGGCCCTGTGACTGTGGACCAGGAGAGGGTCACATTTGGGTTCAGGGAGACCCGCAGGGGCCAGGATGACTGACTGCGAGGGAGACAGGAGGGAGGCTGACTCAGGTGTGTGGGGAGGGGCAGGGGTGGGCTGGCTGGCAAGGAGGAAGCTGAGGGGGGGGCAGGCTGTGTTTGAGGCTCTGTGTGAGTAGAGGCGGGGAGGAGGAGGCTTGCTCCAGGTGAGCCCAGTTGTGGGTCTGGGGATGAGGGAGTCCTGTAACAAATATGGGAATGAGGAGTGCTTCTTCCTTTTTATGGCCAAGTAGTAGTCCGTTGTATGCGTAGAGCACATTTGAAGAAAAATGCTATTTTAATAAAAAAACAAATGCACAGAAATCCTTTG